AAAAAAAAAAAGAAACGAACGAGGGCGGTAAGAGCAAGTCGATGCCGGTAGTCGTCAGGCCATGGAAAGACGTCGTCGAAACTCTTGGAAAACGTTCATTCCGCTAAGAACTGGAAGCTCATTTCCGGCTTGGGCCGGGTTGCCGGCGAAAGGCGCGTAATTCGATTTTGCACTAAAAGAGGCAACCCCGAAAGCTCGGCACCGACCTGACGGCGAACGAACTGACTCTGGTTCGAAGTCGACAAAAGAAGCTGACCCCTACCCCTCGATTCGGCCTTGGTACTTTATTCATACCCGTTGGAGGGAGGGCTCTTTGTTGTCTGCCCGGCGGTACTTAACACGCTCTAATGTGGCCCAGCGTGAAGCTAAAGAGCAGCACAAACGAGAAAACTTGGATACAGAACTTCGTTTAATAACCGGCTGGCTGTTGGTTGTTTAACCTCTTCGCGTGCCGCGAACCGGTCGGTCTAGTGTCGAAAACACTCTCGAGAGGGCAGGTCCGTGTAACCGAGACTGAACGAGGCCCGTAACCGTTGGGGGGCGTCGTAGTAGTGTTACACAACCGCTGACATTATGTCGCTTGTATAATGCGAGCCGCGGGTTGTCCCCGCCATTCAGGACGATATCGAGCCCGTTACACGCTGCCAATGGTTCTGATTGCATCGTAAAACTTACCTCGTAAGAGGATGTCGATCATGAATCGCTCGTTCGCCGGCAGTACGACGACCGGGGACCGTGTAACGACCCACGGAACTTTACGCTCGCGGCGGCCACTGGAGGAGAGGGGAGGAACGACGACAGCGCCTCCTCGCGGAGATCGCGGGCGTTTAAGGGCTCGCGAAATTCCGGCTCGTTTGGAGTTTATAATGAAGAGTTTTGATGCGTCCCGCGTTGGATGACCGGCACCCGGGAAAATTTCGAAAACATTTCATTCAATCAGTCGCCAGAGGAGTGGAAAGAAGAGGGGAACAGTTTGTTAACTGGAGTGCGGAGGAGGTATTCACGCGACGCTCATGTACACGATGGAAAACGATAAAAGTTTCACGCTCGTTTTCGGCCGTAAGTAGCGGGCAACGGGACATGAAAATGCTCGTCACTTCCGGTGGTGGAAGGGGGCGTTGCAGCGCCTGTGCTACGGGTACGCCGTTTCCGGCGATTTAATGACGCGATTGCTGGAGGTTAAAAGATTCTCGGGGAAAAATTGAAACGCTCGAGTTAATTGTCGCGAGACATGAATTATTGATGAACAGCGCGGAAACTATAATGTAATAGAAACAGCTAACTACACAAGTTGCTTTCGAGAATGTCGAATTTAATGTTACACGCGAAACGACGATTTTATGGGTTTTTAATTATCTCTCGAATGGTAAGGTGGAATTTAAGGTCGTACTTGGTAAGATGGGGTCGAATACGACACGAGCTCTTTTTTGCTATTTTCTGACGGGCAACAAAAGTTGTTATCGTAAACTTTTATTTTTGTTTATTTATATAATACGAAATAATAGTTGGGGTATATAAAATATGATAATGTAAGGATTAAACTGTATTAAGTCGCATTAAATATTTCAAAAACATAATAGAAAAGAAAGTGAGGACATTACAAAAGGAACTAGAACTTGGGTGAGATACAACTCGGATCTTACCATTAGAGAGGTAAATAACGTGATGTATCGTTTGCAAACACTTCGAAATAAACTATAATTATTCAGATCATAAAATGGCAATGAAAAGAACATAGACAGACGTTATTTCTGTATAATTCAAAATAGCCCTTTGATGACCCTATACCACCCCATACAATACCAGTACAACCGGGTGGGGGTGATTTTATAAGAGAAAATAAGTAGAAAAGAAGGAATAAATATTTCTCGTTTGAAGTTTCGTTTTCGAGAATATCGAATTTTAAAATTAATCTGGAACGCGTATACCTATTCGGCGTAGTAGTAAGTAGAAAAGGAATTCAACGAACAGACGCGCTACGCAAAGACTATTCCATTGCCCGCATATCCAGCAGATTTCGAAGTCGATTATCTCCAAAACCAAACCTGACAGGAAAGAAATTTATTCTTCTTTTTCGACTAATTTTTGTTTATAAAATTGCCTGCCTAGTTGTACTATCCGAGCTGAGACAATCTATGTAACTTAATTGGAGCTTGTCCATTCCAATAGTATTATCAATGTGTCAAATTCACGCGTACAGTGATAAATTAAATACAATTTTCTGCACAAGCTTCGATGAGTGTTTGAAGCGTTCTCTCCACTGAATATTAAATATTTTATAAACTAATAGCCATATGTGGCTGAAACAAATATTCAGAATTCCCAGCTCTATCACTTTGACACCAATCCTCACTCAAAGGACAGTGTTACACCTGGGGACCGGTCCTTATCAGTGCCGAGGAGCATTCGAACGCTCATCGAGAGGATTTACTGCAATACATTTTGTGGGTACACAATTTTAATGAATCGGTAAATTTACGTTCCTCTTCAATTTACCTTGTAAAATCCGGCGGAACAGTTTACAACTGCGTATTCGTATGATTTCTTCCTCGTGCATGCTTTCCACGACAAAAATTGCATTAATGCGATGCTTTTCGCTCGACTGGCTAAACGCATTGCACATATAGCTTCCGGGTAACATTGTTGAGCGTTTCGCGAAATATAAACCGACACGCTTCGAAGTTTCGGATCGATTATGAATCCCGTTAGCATTTTGATATCACGCGAATTACTTACCGGCGGTTAAAGTGCCGCGTAATCCACGATGTTTAAGCGTGTTTCAACGCGTTGCATATGTTAATCGCAAAACCAGCAACATAGAACGCCAGCGCGCGCTCGCTCGTTCTCGTTCGAACGTATGATACGCGCTTCCAACATTCAAAACCAATTACACGTTTCACTGACCGAAGATATTCGGCTGGCAAATGTTTCGCGTTCAATCGAAACCTATTTATACAGGGTTGAATCGAAAATTGTAGTACAACGTTGGCGCAATCGTTGCGCGGAATAAATTTGCTTAACAGAGAGCTTCCTTTCTGAGAAAACAAGGGGCTCTCTGTTCGGTTTCCATTCAATTACCCGCATGTAAAATATTCTCCTGTCTTTCCGATCTTCTATAAGAATAGGGAACAGATCAAGATGTAATCCATGTCTCGTATGAATGTCATAGATGGAATGAAAAAGAACGAACAAAGATTCAGTAACTATTTTGACTGAATAATTAATTAATTGCTTTCTATTTTTTTTCTAGACACAGAAACGGAATAAGATTGATAAATTCTTACTAATTTCACTGAAAAATTACAAAAAGATAACTTAGAATTGCAGAGTATCCCCTCCATATTGTTCCACCGCTTGGGACTGTCAATGTAATTATAGGGAGGCAGTGAAGACAATTTTTCGATCATCTTGTCCATTCGTCTTGATAGGAAACATTCAAAATCAAAGAAATTATTAACGTAAAAATATACAAAAAATATTAACTCTAATTCGTTACTTCACATACTTATTCGAAGAAATCTATTATACCATTAACGAAATTAGCACATCGTTCGTGATTGCCGATACAACGTCCACGAGATTATATCTGTCAACATTTTATCCCTCACGTACTAACTGGCCAATAGAACGGTGCGATAATCACAAATTTCCATTTATCCCCAAAGTCCCACTTTTAGCCCGTCATCAAGATTGTTCAGCTGAACTGGTCAGTCATAGACTTTCAATCAAACATAGCTTCTGCCAGCGAAGGCTAATTAGAGGCGCAAACTGACCGAAAATCCCTGATCAACCGGCTAGTGCTTCTACCGCACTCGGTAGACCCTTCAATTAATTCCTCGTAACTGGAAAAGGGCGAACTGGAAACGGCCATATGCGCTGCACGCCATTGACAAACGAGTTTTCGTAAGAACGTGTAATTAAGGGAGGAACGCTAGCGTGAAACAGTTCGAATGTCGTGTATCTGTCACACTAGCCCTGGTCTGGATACGTCATCCCCCCAACCCTCTTCCGTTACAAGTGGCTTCTCATGAATCTGTGTCTCATCGAGTTGTTTCAAAAGCTGGTCTGCTCCGGGACCAATGACATCATTGTCTAACCGCAACTCGATGCAGCGTATTATTCCGACACGACGGTTCGACGTCGGGCCAAAGACAAATTGACCGTCGTCGGGAGCCGTTGGATAAGTAGGCATTTACGGCCGTGGTGTCTCGCGCGTAGAACCGTAGGAACATCTCTCGGCTTAACGGGTGGCGGGGGGAAGGCAAGTGTCGACGATGCAAAGGGAGCTTAAACGGAAATAATTGCGTTTCCAAGCTGACGCTTCCGGGACCACCGTCCCAAATGAATCAGCCGCGGCGATTTGCGAACAGGGGGGAGGGCACGGAGGGAAGCATTGCACACGTCACACCTGATTTCCCTTGTAATGTTTGAACCTCTTAGGAGCACCCGCGCGCGTTCTTTACGTTTCAACCTCCCCCGAAAAGGGACTACGTAACTTCAAACGAATTGAATTACATTTGTACCACCATTCACGTTCACCGGTTTTGTCGGCGTTGCTGAACGCAATTTTAATCGAATAACGGGGTAATGGACGAGTCCGTTAACGGAATGCTTTTGTTCGGGAGGACGAGAGCGTTTCGTATTTCTCTGCTCGTTGTTAATTTTGCTGTAATGTGAAACGTCGAGGGGGGGGGGGGAATTCCGGATGATATTTTATTCGATTGATGATGTCACCAATGTCTTTTCCTTTTAATGGATCCGCTTTGTTGTTCACTGTCCGAGCTGTACTTTACAAATTCAATTTGTATAATCGGAAAAGACATCGTCGGAAGTCATTGGTATTAAAGTTCAATATTGTATTGATGATAGTAAGAGGATACCATGAATGTACGTCGTTAAATTCATGCTTAATTATATTAATATTCCTTAAATTAAATAGGAATCTATGTCTGAAATCAAATCGGGAAATTCTGTTCACCTGTATTTACAGGGGAACATACCGAAGTCCCACATCCTGATTTTTATGAAATTTATATGGGAGATAGTTCTCCAGAAAAATTTTTGGCACTTTTTTTTGTCTTTCGTCGTCCATGTTGAGGGTGCAATGTCAGTTCTTCAGGAGTAGGAAATAGTTGTTTTTAAATTGTGTGCTTTTAAACGGAGAATTTAGTCAAATAAAACAATTGAAGAAACAATTATTTGTTTAAATAATACATGAAAAATATGAATTTCTTGTTCAATTTTCTTAGGTGATTACATTTTCCATTCGAAAACACATAATTTAAAAAGAAACAACTTTTTCCTACTCCCTCTAGTTTCCGAGACATTCCAAAAAATACACTCTTATCCCTTAAATTTGGGTGCTGTTATCACCCCGTTAATATGATAAAAAAGACGTGTTAAATATTTTTTGGAGAACTGTCTCCCACATAAGTTTGATAAAAACCGGTGTGTGGGCGTTCGGTATGGTCACATAAATGTCAACCTTTCATCTCGAGTGAAACAGACCAGAACAGTGTATACGAGAGCCAACTAAAAATTGAAATAATCATTTGAAAAATAAATTCAGATACAAATCACTAATTAGATTCATTATTAATTGCCTCATTTATGATTCATTAGGTGAACTGTTTTGAAATGGTTTTATTGGGAACGAAATATAAATTATCCCATGAATTATTCGTTCACGTTACACACGAAAAAGAAATATTCTAACCATGAATCACGCGAATTCCCATCTGTTTTGAACCGTACCGTCTTCCATCCGTACGATTTATCAAGTTTCAACGCTACTTATGCGCGACTCAATGGAATCAATACTCCTTTCTTTGATCCCTGAACTATCCAAGACACCTGGCGGCTTCGACGAGGAACCAGACGAAAATCGTCAAATTATTCCATTCGATTCACGGTGTTGTGCGCGAATTCCAAAGCTGTAAACACAGCCGCGCACACTCATCACATATTCATAACCGTTCTATATCTTCGGTGGACGCGGGCGGTTACTTCGTTCTATCCAATTGCGGTTGCTCCGTCAACATTGTGAATACATTATCGTCGCGTTTGCGGATTCCCGTGTCGCGTTAATTGCAATTACGCCGCGTAATCTTCTCGCGATATTTCTTGCGATGGGGGATAGGCACCGTCTGCCATTTGGATCGAGCATAAATGACTGTGTATCCACGACCGTTACATTTCGGTGGAATGTGCATTAGATCTAACATTAATTCTCCACGAAGTTTTCTTATCTTTCACGTTTTGAGAAAGATTAATTCAATTGAACGATAGTGGTATGTAGAATATGCAAAACACGATGCAGTATAAATTTTTAGAAATATCACTATACAGTACTGTCTCGATAACTGTGACGAACTCGGGCCTGCTTTGGAGCATTCGTGGAAAGGTGGAAAGTTTTCAGCCATTCATAAATTCGTTTTCTTGCATGAAGCCAAGCTTCTGCTTACCTTCTGTTTACGTAAAACGTATTATGCACGATCATGTTCATGTTTAAGACAGTTGGAAATCGGCGTGCTTAGATGGTTAACAGAAAACCCAATCTACACCGTAATTTCAGTTCAGTAAATTGATTCATGAAAATCTGTATTTCCACAAAAATCCGCAGTCCAGCGATATGGAATCAGTTCATAATAATAATGTTTTAAATGAAGTCCTGATGAGGGGCGGTAGATCTGTGCGTCTCGAGATAGCTCGGTGGAACACACTGAAGCCCATTGGTTCAAAAGAGTGTTGATTTAATCTGTTATTTATGAAGGGAGCTCCCTGTACGAACCGAGCACAAGAAGGGAGAGATACGTTAAAGAGGCAGGGTAGAAAACCGCGGGAAACGCACTTCACTTCCTCTTTGTGGGGAAATTATCCCCCGCCGTTGCGGTTCTACCTTTGCCCGCTATCGTTATTAAACCTACCTCCGCCCAGATCAAGTAGACTGTGCTTAACCAGCTACAAGTTAGACAGATACGATTACATATTTTTTGTTTTCTGAATCAAAAGTAATCACTACGGAATTGAGTAGATCGGTGATATTAGAAACAGATTTAAAGTAACTCCTGGCTTAATTTATTCGGAAAATTTTATATTAAAGAAGTGTGGATTGACCTATTAGAACTAATTATGGTGATTAGTAGGTTGGTCCAACTAAATTGGATCAAGAGAGTGAACTGGATACACTAAGAGTGATTAAAGTAGAGATTAGAAAAGGCGAAGTGATTCCGTTGACACTAATGCGGAGAAGATAGTACCATTAATCCTGATCTTTCTAGAGTTTATAAATGATAGTCCTCTGACCCGACGAAGAGGACTAGGTTTCTGTTCATAGTGTCGTGATTTCTGCTGGCTCGAGTGTTTTCCGAATGGATCAGTTAGATCGCTGTTATGTGGTTTAGTAAATGGAGAAACGATTATGCTAGATTAGAACCAGACTATTGAATTTAATTACTGTATCTACTGTGATTAAGGAATGCAAAATGGTATTAATATGCGACAATTATACGTAATATTGAAACGTATAGTAACTTTAAGTCGCCCCTTAATAATTCCTATCTGAAGTAATTCAGAGAGAAATTTTGTTTTTCTTAAACAAATGCATTTCTCTTCAATTAAAATTCTCGTGTAACAAAGTGGTTTCCAACCACCAATACCATTGTCATTCATTTACACAGTAGCATACAGTGTAAATAAGAATTTTTAAGGTTACAATTAATGTGCAAACTCTACGAATTAAAATGACAAAAAGAATTCACATACAGACATGAAAAGGATGACTCACTTCTTTGTTAATATCACGTGGAGTCAGAATGGTCGTGTGTATGGGACCGGTAGCAACTGTTTACAAGATAGTACGACATCTTACTGTTATTCACCGAAATATACGAGGCCCTTCTCACGAAAAAAGACCTCGAGATTACCGTGATTTCCCGAGACGAGGTCGAACGCCTCGCAATGCGAACGCTGTGTATGGGTGTGGTCGGGGTTCATTTTCCTTTTATTCAGTTCACCGTCGGTGGCTTGGAAATCTCCGACGTAAAAGGCTCGTGGCTCGGCGAGAAACAACCCGAAACAATACAACTGGAAACAATGGTCGTGCTGTTGACGTCATACCGATATCTTGCTGATGCAGTAAGCTACGAAATTTCTCCTTCGAATTTCCGCTAAGGACAAAAACAACCGAGACGAGACGGGGCGAATTCACGGGAAACAATTCAAATCGTACGTTATTCCCCTCGTCGTTCGTATAGTTTTACTCGAGACAATAGCTCATATCACATTTCAATATAACGAAATAACAAATAGAAAACCGAAGTCCATTTCAATTTTTATATGAAAACACACAAACGAAGTCTGAAATTATTCAATCCATGTGTAATTACGCCATATATTTTATAACAATAAAAGTCATACATTTTATATGAATATACAGGGTCCGACAGAATAATATGTAAAAGCGGACAGCACGTCATTTCGTATAAAAAATATAAGAAAAAATATACAACGAATAACACTTGGCTGGTGCGTCTGATCATTGCATTCCGTTTCTACTTGCTACAATGTCGAATGCACGCGTTACAGATTAATCTTCAAATTCGATTTTCTCGAAAACTAAGCGGTGAATTATAAAATCTTATAGTATATTTTTTTCTTATTTTCTCCCGAGGAATCACGTGGTTCCCGTTTTTACATGTTATTCCGCAAGGATGCATTCACCCGCGTCTCGAAATGCAACTGTGCTTTTTTCGTTTTGAAGTCATGAACATTTACCAAGGTAACTTAAAGACTGTCTTGTCAGGCTCTTTCGGAATAGCACTTTGAAACTTAGCATCATGGACGATAGTGCCAGAATTGAAGCCGAGTGGACGGTGGTGTCGACGTACAATTTTAATGAGATCACAAGCATGACAAACTCCAGTCATAAGACATTAATTGTGCTCTGTGATTATACGCGATCCTCGACACACAACAGATTAGTAACTTATTCCGAGGCATGTTGTATTGGTACCCACAAAAGGGATCACTAAAGTTTGAACGTCCCACGTATTTCCTGCGAAATTGCGTAGCTTGGTGTAAATGACACTTTGCAACACCTTTGTAGAGAATTATCGTTAAAAACGAACGAGTTTTCTGTATATTTTAATGTTGTATCGCGTCGAATTACGTTTGAAACAATACCAAGCATAAAGTGAAAAAGGCGTCTCTGCTCGACAGAGACGAGAGCTCGAGTGAAATGAGTCTATTAAAGCTCCCACCAACAGCATCTTCTTTCTGTTCCTCGGAATTTCAACAAATGTCACGGATTACAAACGTAATCTAATAATTTCACGCAACCGAAACCTAATGCTAAGTTGCAAGGCATACATTTTTATTAAGCGTAATGGGACGTGTAATATCTTGACCTTCTTGATTAAAGCGAAGTAATGGTTCGGTTTCATGTGAGTGGTGAATTAGTCATTAAGTACAGGTGATATATAAAATTTCGGGGGACTTCAATTATTTTATATTTGGAAAGTATAATACCGATTGCATTTTCAGTTAAATAAAATGAATAAATTGAATAAATTCGATAAGAAAGTTAAACTCACTTTGGGACTAGAATTTTGAAAAAGCGTGCATTGTGTAGTCATATCTGTTGAAAGATTAATAAGGAAAAGATTTTCAACTTAAGTCTGTTTGAGGATAGAGTTTACATACTTTCTTGGTTCGTCTTTAAAAGTATCCAGTAATTTTCAGATAGACCAATATGTTCGAGGCATTTGAAAATGTCTTCGGGTTTCTCCAAAAATTCATCGAATGTCGTTCCTCTTGCGCTATCCGAGTCCAGACGGGAATATACCACTGAAATGCAACATTGCCTTATTGAAGGGAATTTGAAAAATTAAAACGTTCAATGCCAGGTGGGACATAGGCGACCTAGATATGTCGGTGAGTGAACCTTTTTTGGGGGAGACGTCTATATTGATCCATTCGGTATTGAAATATTAGGTTGTCCGGAAATCAACTGCGGATTTCCAGCGCGTCCGTCGGAAGAATGAACATACAAATTTAAAAACTTTATTCGAATAGAAACTCATTCCACTATGT